AAAAAAAAACCTCTAGAATGAGGGCTAAGGAGATGGACCTGAGTTTGATCCCCAGTACCTACATAAAAGCTGGGTGCAGTGATACCTCTTTGTAATCCCAGTGCTGGGGTGGTAGAGACAGGACAATCTCTGGAGCTCAGTGGCTGGCCAGCTGAATCAAATTGGTGAGCTCCAGGTTCAGAGAGAAGCAATCCAGGAAAATACTTGACATTAACCTCTGTCCTCTACATGCATTCCCACACATACACACACACTCCAGAACGAGCAAACTAGGAACATTTTCCCAGCCAGGAAAGAGGACTGAAGGAACCAGGGCAAGGGTACAGCCACACTTTCTCTCTTCCTCCCTCCCTCCGTCTCTCTGAGGTTTCCTTCTCCTCCCTCCCTCAGAGATTTATGAAGCACTGCTTGTAGGAACCCAACAATGACTTCCAATGACCAAGAGGCGGAGATTAGCTGCTGGTAGTCGGGAATGTTCCTGCCACTTACAGGAACCCAGATAATAGCCAGGCGACCTAAACCTAGCCTCATGAGAGGAAGATGATGAGGTGTTTTCTTGGTAACCACATCGGTGAGACTTCATAATTACCGAGCTACGTGGATTCACCATGAAATTGAATAGTTAAAAGCAGAGAGTAATTACCTGATATCCGTACTCTATAATTTAGTATAATCTAATCACGGACAAAGCCTCAAAGAAAACGCTCTGAAAGCGTGCATTTTCCTTCATATACAATTTGTTATTGACATTGGTAATGCACTCTGTGCCTCCCAAGAAACACCAACCAATGCCAGTGTGTGTATGAGGCCCAAAGAGTGTTTCATTTAATTCCCAACAGATTAAGAAAGCAGGTGGCACCAGCTGCCCAGTAAACCTGTTCTGGCATTTCCCTGTGATTCTATTTACCCCCTTCCTTGACAAATTGACCTAGATACAGACCAGAAGGGTGGACACTCTTGCGGAAGGTTCTGAGATAGGCTGACAAGAAGCTCAGTGGTCCTGACACCATTCCAGGTAAACTGAACCCCATGTGGCACCTGCTTTTTTGGCTACACTCTCCCACCATCCCTAACATGCCCCTAGTGGGGTGTCACTATTTTCTGGTCTAAAGGAAGTTCAAGAAGAAAAGAGAGACACAATTCTAGTTTTAAGAAACTCTAGAATGAGAGCTAGGCATGGTGGCCCATGCCTTAAATCGTAGATCTCTGTGAGATTGAGACCAGCCTGGTCTGCATATGGAGTTCCAGGCCAGTTAGGGCTACAAGGAGACCCTGTCTCACAAAACAAAACAAAACAAAACAACTCTAGAATGGGGACAGGGGAGATGGCCCAGCGGTTAAGAAAGTGTACTGCTCTTGCAGAGGACCCAATTTCCCAGCACTTATGTCCAGTGGTTCACGACCAACTGTAATTCCAGTTCCAGGGGATCTGATACCCTCTTCTGGTCTCTGTGGGTCAGAAGACAGAAACAGCAGAGTCCTCAACAAGGTGGGTCAAAAATGAGTCTGCCCGAAGCATCATGGAATGCATGTGGCGTTTTTCCAGCAGGAAGAGAAGGAGCGAACCACTGAAAGATTGATGACGCTATTATTGTGGGGTTCTGTAGACAGGGAAAGGCCAGCAGGAGGGAACGCCGAGGTGACCCTCTGGGGCCTGAGGGGGCCTCAGCAGCCCGGCTGCCTCTACTGCTCGTGTGGATGTGGTTACTAAACAGTTGTAGATGCGGCAGCTTGCCTTTCCTCTTTGCCTTTAATAAATCAGAAAGAATGGCCAGAGCCTGAGTCTCGTGCCTTTTAAAAAAAACCATGCAAGGTGATGAGAAAGGAGGAAAGCTGGAGATTCTCCACCGTTTCTATTTTCTTAAATATGCCTTCCATTCCAGACAGACTGAGTCAGAGCATCTAGGGAGAGAGGAGAAAGGTGGCTCCGGATGAGACAAGGGGCAGAGGTGGCCAAGGAGCATGGAAGCTGAGTTCCTTAGAGGGGATGTGTGTGGATGCCACCCAGCAATTCCACTGAACCAGAAAACAAGGGGGGGACCTAGGGGCAGAGAACCATGGAGGACCTAGATAGTCAAAATCCAGAGATGGGGAGACTGGAGCTGAGTTCTGAGGAAAATGGGAACACAGTATGGCAGGGGGGATGCTGACTGACCTGGGAGGTTCTTCTCAGAGGAGTCAGGAGGGAAGCTGATGGCTGGGTGCTTGCTGACACACCATGCTGAGGACCATTAGACACAGAAGACAAGACCCAAAGCCACCCATGGAGACAGAGGGTAGACCAGGGTGGCAAAGGGCTACAGCTGAGTTTTAGGTTAGAGGGAGGTCAACAGGGTTTAGGGAAAGAGCCATGTGTCGTTTGGTCCTGGGGTGTGCAGCAGCAGCAGCAGCGTCCCTGTCAGAAGGAAAGCTGAGAAACTCCCATGGTGCACCATCCCACTAGGGTGGCCCCAGTCCTGTCCATAGTTTCAAAGTTCCCTCAGATCCACTGTCATGAAATAGACAGTAAGTCTGAGAAACACTGCAACCTTTGCTTTGTTTAA